AGTTCAAGACCAGTCTGGCCAAGATGGTGAAACCCCGTCTCTACTAAACATAAAAATTAGCCGGGTGCAGTGGTGGGTGCCTGTAATCCTAGCTACTCGGGAGGCTGAGGCTGGAGGGAATCTCTTGAACCTGGGAGGCGGAGCTTGCGGTGAGCTGAGATTGTGCCACTTCACTCCAGCCTGGGCAACAGAGCAAGATTCCATCTCAAAAAAAGAAAAAAAGAAAAAATATATATCCAGGGCTCCCTTGGTGTTGTGGTAGGGTCAGGGGATAGCCCTTGCTTTCCTGTGTTCCTAAAAGAAGATAAAGTCACACTATCAAATAACAAATGCCTCATCAAAACACAACCCAGACAGCAGCCCACTTCTCCCAACAAGAAACAGGCCAGTCTTGACAGTATTATAATTATGATGACAAGGAAGGGAAGGCTGGTCCATCACCCCTCTCCCCGCCCCGACCTCTATCAGGGGTAAGCCCAGGGGACAGGAGTGCAGAGTGGCTGAGGGCAAAGCCTGTGCCCTGTTGGAATAGCCTGGGCCTTCCCCTTCCTAGCCTGTGAGCTGTGACGGGGATTCAGTGAGGGTCTCAGGCTGTGCATAGCCCAGGACAGTGCCTGGCTCGGAGTGAGTGCTCAACAAGCTTTAAGTGTCAATATTCTTGCTAAAAACCTGAAAACTAACCCTAGAGCTAAGCAGTGGAATTCTGCCCATGTTGGGGGTGAAGAGACCAAAGTTCAGAAAAATTCATTAAAGTGTTCAGGATCATACAGCTGGAACAGGGGAACAGGCAGGGCTGAGCTCCAAGTCCAGGCAGGCTGAGCCCAGAGCACTCGCTTTGAAGTTCTGTTTTATACGATTCCTTAGCAGGAAGCTACTCAGGGCAAACTGACTTAAGAGCATCATTTCCTAGAACTCCTGATGCCAAGTCCAAGAGCTGGGGGAATGCTGGAAACAAGGAGAAGGAAGGCAGAGAATGCTGGTGGAGGCAGCAAGGAAGAAATAGATGCAAGAATATTAGAAGGTGTCATAAGAGGGATAAGGACCAATCGCACCTCTGTCTTGCCCCATCCCCTCTCCAGGTGAGAAGGGCTGCATGAGACTTTAGTGTCAGACAGGAGCTCAGTGCTGATCATTCAGCCCTGTGCCTAGGGACAGCCCTTCAGCCTCCTTGATTTCCTGTGATTTAGTCTGGGTCTGAGGGCACCTCCTCATCTGGCCAATTCAGAGTAAAAGAATTTGGAAAGCTCAAACACTCAAGCAATGTAGTTTTTTGTTCTGAGAAAGGGTCTTGCTCTGTCACCCAGGCTGGAGTGCAGTGGTACAGTCACCATCACTGCTCACTGCAGCCTCAAACTCCTGAGCCCAAATGATCCTCCCACCTTAGCCTCCTGAGTAGCTGCGACCACAGGCATGCATCACCACACAGGCTAATTTTGTATTTTTTGTAGAGACAGGGTCTCACTGTGTTGCTCAGGCTGGTCTCAAATTCCTGTGCTCACACAATTTTCCTGCCTCAGCCTCACAAAGTGGTGGGATGACATGCATGAGTCACTGTGTCTGGCCAAGAAGCTTAGTTTTTAAAATAACAATCAGTAAAATAGGTTACAAGTTTTCAGTCAAACCTGTCAGGTGGGATGAAAATTTGGGAAAACCAGGCCACATTATTTTCAGTTAATTTCTGTGAAAACTTCTGCAAAATCAATCAGAAACTCTGTCAGTTCATCTCAAAGTCCTGGGAGTCTAGACAGAAGTTCAGGCTTCGCATGTACTGGGGTGGTTGGTTGGAAATTTGGTGAGGTCGGTCCAAAATCCAGCCAGGTCAATCCAAACTCTGGATCAGTCCCAAGTTCAGTGCAGCAAGGTGAAGTCCAAGCGGCATAGTCAGATATTTAGTCAGATTCATCATGACGTCACTCTGACCATTTGGGGTTGGGTAAGCCATCGGGTGTGGGACTGGGTTTGTGATGGGCGGACAGAGAGGCAGAGGATTGGCAGTGTGCGCAGGCCTGGGAGCCAAAGTGGAGAGTGAATGGTACTTTCTGGGGGTTTCCAGAACCACCTCTAGCAGGAGCCCAGCTGGGGAAATGGTGAGGCTGACCAAGAGTGGTGCATGGTGCTCCCAGACATGTCCCTGGCACTTCCTTGAGGAGACCTGAAATGCTACTCTGTTGACCCCTACAACCCCAGCACATTGCTGAGCTGCCAGCCTTCTAACGCCTACCCCCTGTCCAGCCATTGGGCAGCCAGCCAGCATGTTTTGGCCTAAAGGACAGCAGCTTTGTGTACACACGTAGCACATGCTTGTCCCCACACAGCCTGCCTGTCTGTTCTCCCACGCTCCTTTCCCTCTCTGGCCAGAGCTGAGCAGGCAAAGCCAACAGCTGGCCTGGCGCCCCGGTGCGTGGAGGTGTAGCTGGGCTCTGACCCAGCTCCTCAAACAGGTTCCATATGGCCCTCCCGGCCGCCCCCCACTCCCGTTCCCCACCTTGACTGTTTCTGAGATTAAAACCCTTTCCTGGCTTCCCAGCAGTGGCAGGGAGGGGCTGCCACGCTGCCATTGGGGCTGAGCTGGTGTGGAATACTCATCAAAAAGTTAGCTGGAGGGGGACAGATTTCTTGGGCAGTTGGATGAGGGGGCATGGAGGGGAGCACATGGCTTGAGCATAGGAGAGACCTCGGTCTGCCCCTGCAGCCCAGCTGCAGCCTCTGGAGAAGCTCCTGAGTGTCTGACTTTGGCAACAGGACCTCAAGGCTCCGGTGGGAACAGGCAGCCTTCTGGGTCTCTCTACTTCTCTCCTGGCACTCAGAATTCCTCCTGCAGCTAAGAGGGGTGTGATGAAAGCAAAGAAAGGGACAGTTGAGATGGGAGAAGCCCTGGGGAGAGAAGGGAGGCTCCCCCATACTGTACCCACCAGTAACACTCAGGCCCTGGACAGTCAGCAGAGATTCAGACATGGCATTGGAGTGGGGTCCTGGAGCAGTCATCCCTGCTGAGCCCGATGCCTGCCCTTTGGTGGCAGGGCTGTGGGAAAGCCTTGGGATGCTGGGACCAGAGTAATAGGGTGTGGTGAGAGTGGGGGATGCTCCAGGAGCTTGGGACTGCAGCTATCTACCCCTGGTACTGAAGTATTTTAATATTTTAACAGCCAGCTTTGTGGTCCTGGTGGCCCTCGCTGAACCTTAGCCTTGGGTTAGAGCCCGTCTCTGCTCTAGCTCTGCCTTCTTCCCTGGAAAGGCTTTCGTTGACTGTGAATCCTGAAGACATATACATAGACACAAGCATGTGAGTGTGTGTGTGCCTGCCTGTCTGCATGAACTCTCTGGGCTCCCAATCCTTCTAAGTGCCCAGAAAACCCAGAAGCACATGCCCACCCTTGCACTTTGCCTGCCCTTGTCCTCCTGCCCCAGCCCCACCAAGTCCAGCACAGAGACTAGTCCAGAGGCACAGCTGATCCACTTCTGAGTCCCTGGCTGAACCATGTCCTGGGGCTTCTTAACTCTTATCCCTCCTCCATCCTGTCCCAGAATTGTGCCCAGGAGCTGGCTGGCATGACTGGGGCTCTGAACATTTGGAAGGCTCCCATTTAAACAGTCTCCCCACCAGACTATCCTCCTGCCTAGCCAGTCACACCATTGGCCCAGCTCTGGGAGCCCATCCCACCCGCCTTGGAAGATCAAAGCAGATTCCGCATCCATTTTCAGTGATGACATCTGGCTTCAGCAGGTGGTGATTTAGGATCTCAGCACTGGAAGGCCCTCAGGGATCTCCATTCTGGCAGTCTCATTTTCCTCATGGAGACCCAGAGAGAAGGAGGGTGTCAAGCTTGTTGCTGGGCTGGGACTGGAACCCCAGTGTCCACAGCTCCTGGAATTTCACCGGGAGAAAGGAAAAAAGTAGACAAGGAGACTCAGCTAAGCCAGAGTTTTCCTTCTCCTCCTAGAACAAACTATGGGTGGAGGAAGGAAAAGACTTTGGAGATTGTTGTCTAATGGCTTCATGGTCCTGCCTACACCCACATCTTGGCCACTTCTCCGCATCTACATGGGTGCCAGGACATCATCGTGTCTCAGGCAGACCTGCAAGAAGTTGCAGGGCAGTTTCAAGGGCATGAAGGAAGCCTGATCTGTGAAACATTTTGCAACATTGGTGCAGATGAGGGACCCGATAAAGGAGCTCAAAGAGCCTCAGCCCCACTTCCTTGCCTGTCTACTCCTGCTACGGTTTGAACGTTTGTCCCTTCTGAAACTCGTGTTGAAACTAGATCCCCAATGTAACAGTATTGAGAGGTGAGGCCTTTAAGAGGTGATTGTGTCATGAAGGCTCTGCCCTCATGAATCCATTCATGGATTAAGGTACTAATGGGGCAATGGATTATTGGGTTATCATGGGACTGAGTTAATTATCAGGAGAGTGGGTCCATTATAAAAGCCATTTTGACACACTCTTGCCCTCTCACCACGTGATTCCTTCCATCATGTTATGACGCAGCAAGAAGGCCCTCACAAGATGCAGCCCCTCAGCCTTGGACTTCCCAGCCTTCAGAACTGTAAGAAATAACTTCCTTTTATTTATAAATTACCCAGTCTCAGACATTCATTTAAGCAACAGAAAATGGACCAAGACAACTTCCTTCCTCTCACCCTCTCTTTAGCTGTTAAAGCTATTGCTATGCACAGGGAGAGAGTGGAAGCTGATTTTGTTTCTCCTCTGGGGGTGCTGTTTGGAAGTCTGGGGCTGAGGAAGGAGCAGTCATGGTCCCAGCCAACTCCCTGCATATGTTGGGGGGTGGGGGATGATAGGGGAGGCTGTGAACCTAGCCTAGCTTTGCACTGCCTTGTCCATCGAGCCCAGTATCCTTTACAGAGCATCTGGAAGCCCTTCCAATAGTCTATATCCAGATGTTCCAGGTGTAGTCACAGTGGGCAACTCTGAATTCTCCTTCCACCCTCTCATATCTGAGCTCTGATCATTGGTTTCTCTCCCTGACATGTCTTTCCAGGGACATCCCTGTTCTTCCAGCTCTGCTCAAACTCTGCTGAAGGACTTTGGTTCTCTGCCCTTCACATCGTTTCCCTGAGATGTTGCATTCCTCTGCTATCACTCTGATCCTAATAGTCACAGTGAACAAGGTGGGATACACTTGATTGAGATGTTAACAGGTATTTTTCTCCTGGGGGTTTGCTCTGCACTCCCCATTCCAGCCACCGAGCCTGGATTAGGAAGAGGGGCAGGATAGATAGTGAGTGGAAACAATGGAGTCTGCCTGGCTTTGTACCCTGCAAACCCCAGACCTTAGTAGATATGAGAGGTTGTAAGGGCTTATTGGAAACATGGGAGCAAGGTCTGGAATGGCAGCAGGCGGTGAACATTGAGGAGGGGCTTCCCTGGAGAGTTCCGGGAGGCACCAAGATTGTAAGAGGGAAGGGCTGGGTAGCAAGTTCAGGCAGACAGCCTGCCTGGCTTCCCACACCCAGGTGAGGCCCAAATCTGAGAAATAGCTCCTGGGCCTTGGCACTTTGCAGGGAAGAGGCAGGGGAAGGCAGCTATAAGGGTCAGTTTGGTGATGAGTTTCAGGATATGTCCACTGAGGCATGACTCTGTGGGGCAAATGCTTCAGGGAGACATCAATGCCTCTCAGCACCTGAGGTTATACAAGCCCCCATAACTCAGACTCCCCTTGGGGAAAACTGGGAGGTTGCCCCAAATTCAATGAGGTTGTGTCTACCACCACAACTGAGTGGGGAGCTCAAGCCAGCCATTAAATTGCTGTAGAAAGATAAATTATTTTGCCTTGGATGGCTGAGTTACAGCCCAAGCATGGAACCCACTGCACTAACACTGACAGGTCCTGGGCAGCGTGTTCTTTGATCCTCACCATTAGCTTCAAGGGGCACATGCTGTGATTCTTCCCATTTTACAGACAAGAAACTGAGCCACAGAGGCATCGAGCAACTTGCCCAGGGTTGCAGAGTTGGTACGAGGAAGTGGTCCAGATGCAAGCCTGTGTCTGTTTGATTCCCGAGTCCGTGCTCCTCTCTGTCCCTCCTTGCACCACTCCACTTAGAAGGACACGAGGTGAATTTAAACATCTTAGTCACAGTGTTGGTGGTTAGCCAGTGGGTCTATGCATGCCTTTGTCAAAAACATGTGCTCTAGCCTGTGTTTTCTCTGTACCATCAATGTTTGGATTCTCCAGAAACCCAACCCCAGGGTATCCCTCGTCATCTGTCTTTTTGCCCTCATCACAGGTTTGGGAGCAGATCCACACCACTACAGCTGTGACTTGGAAGGAACACAGCCATCATTGATGTCACCGCAGTCCCTGCAATTCTGTAGCACAGTGTTGATTTCATTGTACCACAATGTAGCTCTAGGAGGCAGGACAGGATTCGTGCCCATTTTATAGACAAAAATGCTGGGGTTCAGGGCTTGACCTAGGCCCTATCGAGGATAGTAATATGGTTTGGATGTCTGTCCACTCCAAATCTCATGTTGAAATGTGATTCCCAGTGTTGGAGGTGGGACCTGGTGGGAGGTGATTGGATCATGGGGATGGATCCTCATGAATGGCTTAGCACCATCCCCTTGGTGATGAGTGATTTCTCACTCTGAGTTCACATGAGATCTGGTTGTTTAAAAGTGTGTGGCACCTCCTCTACCCTCTTGCTCCTGCTCGCATCAGGTAAGACATGTCTGCTCTCACTTCACCTTCCACAGTGAGTGAAAGCTCCCCGAGGCCTCCCAGAAGTCGAGAAAATGCTGATATTATACTTCCTTTATAGCCTGCAGAACCGTAAGCCAATTAAACATCTTTTCTTTATAAATTACCCAGTCTCTGGTAGTTCTTTACAGCAATGCAAACATGGCCTAACACCAATAGAGAGGAGCTGGAACTCAAAGCAAGTTCTTTTTTTTCCCCCAAACTTGGCTGAAGGTGCGAATCTCCTGGTGTGTTTCCTTGGGTCCCAATTCAGACCTTAAAATCAGGATTTGAGAGAAGAGGGTGCACAGTCCCTGCCTCTTCAGATAAAGCTCTCTTGCCAGAGATTTGCAAATTTATTTGAAGCCTTGGAACATTTTATTTCAAAAATCTTTATGCTGGAGAAAAAACCCAGTGGATCCTAGGGGTGGGTGACACCACCCTCCATCCTACTCAGAGCCCCAAGGGTGCCTCTGGGCCTAGGTCAAGCACCATGAACCACACTGTCATTCAGATTCCAAGTCTGCCACTCATCAACAGTGGTCCCAACAGTTTTTGCCAACTTCCCTGTGCCTCAATTTCCTCATACGTACAATGGGAAAATAATGTTATCTGCCTTGCAGAATTGTGAGGATCAAATGGGCAAATGTCTGTTAAATACTGAGAATAGTGCCTAGTGCCTGGCATATAAGAAGTGCTAAATAAATAAATGTCATTCACTGGGCCACTGTGTCTTGGCTGACTTTTTTTTTTTTTTTTTTTTTTTAAGACAGTGTCTCCCTCTGCTGCCCAGGCTGGAGTGCAGTGGCCTGGTCTCAGCTCACTTCAGCCTCCACCTCCTGTGTTCAAATGATTCTCATGCCTCAGCCTCCTGAGTAGCTGTGATGACAGGTGTGCACCACCATGCCTAGCTAATTTTTTTGTATTTTTAGTACAGATAGGGTTTCCCTGAATTAGCCATGCTGGTCTGGAACTCTTGGCCTCAAATGATCCACCTACCTCCGCCTCCCAAAGTGCTGGAATTACAGGCATAAGCCACTGTGCCTGGCCTTGGCTGATTATTTTTTGAGGACTGAATCCATGTGTTGGCTGATTTAAATGGTTGCCTTGGTTAAAGAAATAATTAAATGGCATCATCCTAATGAATTAGAAAGAAAAATAGTCAAAGCAATTGTAAGATTTAATTGGTCTGTTTGGGGTGTTTTAAAATAATACTGATAAGTTTGCGGTGGGTGTGGTTGCTTTGCACAGGGTGACCAGCCACCTCTGCAGGCTTAAGCAGGCTGGGAGGTGAGCAGATCTGCTTCCAGCCCCCACCAGGCTTCCGGGAGAAGTTCCCGTGGAGGCAGACAGACATCAGACGGAGGCCCCGTCGCTGGTGTTTCCTTGGTTGCTCAGGCCCTCTCAGAGCTGCTGTCAGGTCAGATCCTGGAAACCCTGAGTGGTTTTCCAGCTGAGGCCTTTGAGTGCTGCTAGTTTGTTCTGCCCTGTTTCCTCTGGGGGAGCTGAGCAAAGGGATGGATTATTCACTTCCCTCCTCTCTTCCCCAATGGGGTTCTTTTTAGAAGGGGTGACTTGGTCAGTTCTGGGCAGGAAGGGTGATGAAGGAGGACAAGGCCAATTATTTTCCACCTCCCACTCTCTTTTCTGAGCGCCCTAAGAAGTGGCTGGAGAGGGGACATCCAGGACCTGGGGTGGTTCCAGGACAGAGGCCTATGGCTGCTGTAGTTGCCCTGGGGTTGGCTGGAGCCAGGACTTCTCTGGAGAGGCACAGAGGGAACTTCACGGGAAACCACATTTACATCCAGGTGAAATCGGTTAGGCTGATCATCAAAGCGGTAGGAAGGATCCCAGAGAGGAAATGAGAGATCTGTCATGTTGCTTAACTCCCTGGTCAGTGGCTTCTATTGCCTTGAGGATAAGGTCTCCAATCCTACAGGCCTGCCCTGCCTGACTAGGCTGCACACCCACCTTGTCATGTGAGGGCCCCTGTGCCGCCAGCTCAGCTCCAGGCCCCTCCTGGATGCTCCTTCTGCCTCAGGGCCTTTGCACATTGTTGCTCTTCCGACCCTTTACCTTCTACAACTCCTCCTCAAGCTTCAGGCCTCAGGTGAAAGTCACTCTTTGTGAGAAGCCCTCCCTGACATTCCTCCCCCAGCCCTCATCCAGACCAGATGAGGATATTTGCTCTTCCCCTTATCGTGTATACTCCTTCAATTTCTCCTTCAGGGCCTAAGCACAGTTGTAACTCTTTATTTAGTGTCCATCATTCCTTTTTTAAGAGGACAGTAGCCATGTCTGCCTGATTCACCATGACATTACCAGTCCAATGACAAGGACATAGTAGGTATTTCTAAATATGTGGTAAATGATGGATGGGCATTTTGGCCCACCCATTCTAACGGGTGCCTTGAAGATGGCAGAAGTTACAGGGAACCAGCATATGGCTTCGCATTTGGAAGATCTTTCTAGTAGAGTTGGCCAAGAACCAAATGAATGCATTGCTTTAGGGAGTAGTGAGCTCCCTGTCGCCGGAGGAGTGCAAGCTGAGACTGAATGACTGTATGTGGAGACACTTAAGAAGGAATCTGAGTTTCTGGTGTGGAGTGAGTATAGACCCTGGAACAGTCTTTCCGACCTTGTGAAGGTGAGATTCTAAGGTGGCAATGGGGTGATGGGGATGGACTGGCATCTTCTGAAGTTCCCTCTGTGCCTCTCCAGAGAGGTCCTGGCTCCAGCCAACCCCAGGGCAACTATAGCAGCTAGAAGCCTCTATCCTGGAACACCCAGGTCCTGGATGTCCCCTCCCCAGCCACTTCTTAGGGCCTTCGAAGAAGACAGTGGGAGGTGGAAAATGGTTGGCCTTGTCCTCCCTCATCAACCTTCCCGCCCAGAGCTGATCAAGCCACCAGACTGGCATGGACTGGTTGCCATAGAAGTCCATGGTTTTCTTTAGTCCAGAGAGGGAGAACTACCTCCTTGTCTCAGGCTTGTTCCTGAGTCACTGCCCAATCAGTAAGCGGGAACTTCTAAAGTCAGAGTGGCCAACGCAGTACCCATAGGGGCCAGGCTTGGAACATACATAAGTGGGGATACCCAGGTGCCTAAAAATGAGGGTAAAGCACTGTGGCAAGGATACATGGTTATCAGAGAGGCTACAGGGAGTGGTGGGGACTATGGCAAATTGGAGGGCACAGACCCAATTTAAAGGGGTCACCTCAGGCCCTGGAGAGATGTAAACCTGATAATGTCTAGATGTTTAGCTTTTTAAAGAGAAGCAGGACATATGATTTTTTATATAAAATCTAATTTACTTACTTTCTTTTTTTTTGGTTGAGACAGAGTCTCGCTTTGTTGCCCAGGCTGGAGTTCAATAGCACTATCTTGGCTCACTGCAACCTCTGCCTCCCAGGTTCAAGCGATCCTCC